TGGCCCTGTCGGCAGGTGGGCGCAGGAGGACGCAGGCCCCAGCTGGAGAGACGCCGCCGGAGGAGTCCAGCCGGGCGCCGTTACTCACCTGAGCAGCAGTGCGGCGCTGGAGCCTGAGGTGGGAGCGTGCCCCACGGTGCTGCTGGGAAGAGATACACCCCCTGCAGCGAAGGCAAGAGGCGTCCTAGCCCAGGCCTTGGCCCCTGCTCCCATCCCCGGGCCTGTCCTGCCGAGGTGGGGGCTCTGCCCACCTGCGCGGAGCAGGCAAAGGCCTGGCTCTCCCTGGCCCCGCCTGGCAGGGCTGCAGCTTGTCTCCGAAGCCGCTCGGGGGGAGGGGGGTGCACTGCACAGGCCAGTGCATCTGCGAGGGGGGGCTGCAGCCCCCCCCCACACACACAGCGACCCAGCCAGCAGCAGCTTGTTTAGGGACTCCCCGCAGTGCTGAGTGCGGGCACTCGGCCCAGCCCCCAGCCAGGAGCCCTTGCAGCTTGACTGGGGGGGCCCTCTGGAGAGCAGGGGGGAGGGGCCCACCAGCCTCCAACAGCTGCTTTTCTTGCAGGGCTGCAGCATGAGAGCCTCCTGCCAGGCGCCATGCGACAGCAGCGGGTCTGCACTCCCCTGCCTGCCCGCCGAGGGGGCCCGGGCCTTGCCAGGAAGGTGGGGCAGGTGGCAGCTGCTGCACGGCGCCCTGGCTCAGAGAGAAGAGAGAGGCAGAGTCGGGGCAGGGTCTGGGGCTGACCCAGCTGTGCCGGCCCGGCGGGCCCAGCCCTTCCAGAGCAGAGCCCCTTAGTACTGGGTGCCTCAGCCTGAGAGAGCAGCCGTGCTCCAGGGAGCGTCCGTCCCCTCGCACCACAGACACGCCCCTGCACGGTTGTGCAGCGAGTGTGAAAAGCCACCCTCGCCCCGTGAGCAGCAGCCTGCCCGTGCTGCAGCCCTTGGCCCAGCCCCGTCGGGTCCCCTCCCAGGGGCAAAGGGACACGCAGCTGCACGCAGAGGCCCAGCTCAGAGCTGGCCGCTGGCAGCAGGGGCAGACGTGGCTGTGGAGGCAGAAAGCACTGTAGCTTCTTCCCATTAAAGCAGTCGTCCCCCCGCCCCGAGAGCTCCGTGCCTCTGTCTGGGCCCCGTGGAAATGGGGGGGAGGGCGTATTTCGCTGCCGCCTGGAACCCGCCTTCAGAAACTCCCCCTCACAGCTGCTGCCTCCCTCCCCCAGTTCGTGTCAGGGAAGAACAGGCCCTGGCTGCAGCCTGGCCCGACCGCGAGCCCCTCTCCCCAAAGCTCCAGCGCTGCCCCTTCCCCTGGTGCCTACAGCCTAGCCCCCTCCCCCATGCTGTGGCTGCTGGCAGGGAGGTGATGGACCCCGTCTCCCTGGGCGGGGGAGGCCCCTGGCAGGGAGGGGTACAGAGGCTAAGGGACTTGGCCCAAGGTTCCCGCCTTCAGTTCCGGCTCCAGGGCTCCCGCTGGGCAGTGCAGCCCCGCGCCCCTTTGCGTCCCCTCCCCCCATTCAGCCTTAGCGCTGCTTGTCTGCCCAGCACGCTCAGGCCGGGCTGGCCCCGCTGCGAGGGAGGGAACGGACCTTGGCCCCGCGGAGGCAAAGGCTGCAGCAGCATTTCCTCGGCTGGGCCTAGCGCGTGTTTCCACTGCTCCCGCAGGACTCCTGCCTCTCCCCTGGACAGGCCCTGATGGGGGCAGTTGGCCCAGAGCCCCAAGCCCTTCAGGTTGCCCCTGGAGCACTGTGGGCTGGCAGTGCCAGGGCACTGAGTGGTGCAAGGGGCCGGCTGCCCCATCTCTTCCAGGAGCCCAGCTCCCGCTCCCTCTCCCCCCCTTGTTAGCAGCTCACCCCGGGCCCGTAACTGCAGGCACTGTCAGCCAGTACCAAGGAGGATGCAACCCAGGGACCCCAGCAGCTGCTGCCTGAGAAGAAATCAGATCCCGCAGCAGAAACGGAGCCAGCCATGGGACAGAGGCTGTGATCCAGAGCACACACCCCACCGAGGCCACGGTTGCAGGCAGGAGAGCCAGGCAGCAGCAGGAGAGGAGGGAATTGATCAGTGATTCAAGGACACAGGTTGGATTTTGAATTGCTGCTCTTTCTTCAATGGCACCTGCATCAATCCTTTAGGTAACCTTCAGCAGGCACCACCAGTACCCGGCCCCTACCTCACCCACATTCACCATTTTAGAGCCCAACTGCTGAGCAGCTTGTTCCAGCTTCCACCGCTCATTCGCAAGGTCCTCGTGAACCAGTGGGAGCGAGCTCAGGGCATAGTGATAGCACTAGCCTGGCCCACCAGCACCGGTACCTGGCTCTGGTCACCCTACCTCTGTGCTTGTGTAACTCACACGCCTGGGCTACATCAACACTGGCAGCTGCTTGCGCTAGAACTGTGTTGCAGAAGAGTTCTTACACAACAAACCTTCCCCAAGAGCGTGTCTGCAGTGCTGTGCTGTGCGCAAGAGCGTCTCTAGCAGCGCGGCCGCTCTCTTGCGCAAGAAAGCTCTCATGGCCATTTTAGCCATAGGGGGTTTCTTGCGCAAGAAATTCGTGTTGCCTGTCTACACTGGCCTCTTGTGGAAGAGCTCTTGCCATGAGGGCTTATTCCTTGTGGGGAGAGAAATAACTTCCGCAAGAAGCCCTGTTTCTGGTGCTAGACTGTGAATTTACTTGCGCGCACACACATGTGCAGTGTAGACATCCAGCAGGTTTTTGCGTCAGAACAGCGGTTCTTGCGCAAGAAGCCACCACTGTGGATACTGAGCAATGCAAGTGGTGCCTAGACCCCAGCAACAGTTAAGATCAGGAGCTCTCTACAGCCTGGGCCGGGAGCCAGCTGGCTTTTAGCTTGGAGGGTAGAGGCTCCTATACTCACCTCCAGAGGTCCCAGGTTCAAGTCTGCCTGGTGGCTACACTTGGACCTTCTAATGCCAGACCACAGGCACCTCCAGGTCCCAAGTTGCTGAACCCAGCAGTGCTTTCCTCCTCAGCCCCGCTCAGACAACACTCTCCGAGAGCCCCAGGGATGAGTTTTTCAATCTGGCCCATCCCCCTCCCTCCGCAGCAGCAAGGCCTCTAAGCCAGTCAATAGGGATGCACTCAAGTGCCCAGGGCTGGCTCTGTGTTTACAAACACCACAGTCAATCAGTTCTTATAGCCCTGCCCCTCCACCCACAGGTCTGCTAAGCTGTCCCTGCCTGGGACCTCAGTCTAGTTCTCTAGGCCCATGGGCCCTGCCCTACCCTTCGTACCAGTGGCATTGCTAGCAGCAGGCAGTTCAGCCAGGACCGGGCCCCCAGCCTGCGTGCCAGGACGAGATGCAGCTCCAAGCTCAGCCGCCTTCCTCCTGAAGATGGTGTTGCAGTTCCACGTCAACTAGGACATTTTCCTCCTCATACGCCAGGAGCCGCCTCCATTCTCCAGAGCATTGGCCTTTCACATCAAGAACACGAAACCGCCGACAGCACGAAAGGTCAGCCCAGATCATCTCCCCTTGGCGTTCCCGGCCCACGAAACGAGCAGGGCTGCCGCACATTCTGCAGTGGCCCCACAGGCCGGGGCTGACTCAGCACTTGGCCCCACAGGGTTCCAAGCCGCACACGTCTCCAGCCCCAGCACCAGCACCTGGCCCAGGGAGGCACCTGGCTGGAACGCACGTGAACAGGGCATTGCAGAGAGAGTTACAAGGCCAGCAGCCATCTTTTGCCTGGGGATGGATTGAGAAAGTAGCCAGGAGACAGCAGCACAGCGTGAAGCCCTGGTCAAGTCTCCTCTTTACAATAAGATGAAGCTTGGATTGTGGGGCTTTATTGTGTACCTGGTTGGGCCAAGGGCCTGCTCTGGCTTAGACTGGAAGGGGGACGGAAGACAAAGGAGGAGTTCTGCCCCCAGCAGTTCAGCACTCCAAGGCTGGAGCGCATTGCAGTAGTGAGAGACTGGCCACATGTCCCCCCTCCCTCTGCCCCTGGCCTGTTGATGTCAGCTTGGCTAGTTACCCAGAGAGGCAGAGGGCATGCCAGTGTTTGGGGATGGAGGTTTATTTGCTTTCAACAACACAAAGAAGCAGTTATCACAAGTTACACTCGACCTGTGTGAGGCAAAAGCCTCACTCCCTGAAACATGACACTGCCCTCAACTCCGACAGGACAAAGGAGCCCAAGTGTTTGGGCAGCTCTACACAATGCACTGCACAGGAGCTGACTGGGCCAAACGGCTTTGGTTATACTGGTTTGTTGGATTGCACAGAAATAGGAAGCTTTGAGACGTATGGGTCCCAGTGCACGTGGCTGCTGTCAGCAAGAGACCCATAATGGCTTCACTTTGCCACCGCCCCCAAAAGGTCACTGGCCTGTAAGAGCTTTCAGAGACGCAGGCAGACAGATCCCTGACAGCCACTGTTCCCAACCCTGATGAAACACGAATGGATGTAACGAAGGGGAGGTATGAGCAGCAAACACTACACACTACTGCTTTGGGGCTGTCCCCCTCACTGGAACCTGGTGACAGCTTCGTGGATGGAGCTGGCCACATAGTCTAGGTTCTTGGTGGTCAGACCGCACATGTTGATGCGTCCACTGGCCATCAGGTAGATGTGCTTCTCCTTGATCAGGAATTCCACTTGCTTAGCTGGGGAAGCAATTGAGAGAGGGGTCAGGTAAGCCATGGGGTGAGCTGGGAACCTGAGCACTGGTCAGGGCTTGCAGAATGGACAAGGGGGTGGGTCAGGGCCTGGCCAATGGAGTCAAGCATATAGCTTCTCCAGACCCAGCCTCTCCACTGCACCTCCTGTGGGGAGAAGATAGCAGGAGCTCCGAGCTCCTCCAGTCCTGGCGGGACCCAGCAGGGGGTGCAGACAGCAGGCCAGGAGTGCTCTCCATCCACCCTCTCCTACTACGGATCTAAGGCCCACAGCTGCATTACAGAAAGCCACTGGAGAAGTTCTTCAGGGAAGCCCGCCTTGATTCCTGCAGCCCCTGCTCACTCCCACTCCACAGCAGCATCCAGCCCCTCGGTACTTACGGTTCAGCCCTGTGAAACTGAACATGCCGATCTGCTCAGTGATGTGATTCCAGGTGCCCGGAGTCCCAAGAGCTTGGAGCCGGGCCCTGAGCTCTGACCGCATTAGCAAGACCCGATCTGCCATCGTCTTCACATTGTCCTTCCTGCGCAAGGGGGAGAGAGAGCCAGCAGTGGCATTTAACCACATCCATGGCCTGTACCTGTCTCCCCCTCCCCCGCCTTTGGGCCCCAGCAGCTCTTACCACTCAGCAAAGAGCTGTGGGGAGGTGAGGGTGGTTGCCACGACACGTGCTCCTTGCGAGGGAGGGTTGGACCAGATGGCCCGGACAATCTTCTCCATCTGGGAAAGGACCCGCTGCACGTTGTCAGCATCCTTCCCCACCACCGTCAGGTTCCCCACTCGCTCATCTGGAGACAGACATGGAGGCATTGGCCACATCCCTGCAGGCTTCCCCCACCGCTCCTAGGGATCTGGCCCCAGCTGCAGGGCTAGCTGCTGCCTGCTGGACACTCACTATAGAGCCCAAAGTTCTTGGAGAAGGACTGAGCACAGAAGAGTTCGAAGCCCTCGGACACAAAGTACCGCACGGCCCAGGCATCCCTGTCCAGGCAGCCGGAGGCAAAGCCCTGATAGGCCGAGTCAAAGAATGGGAACAGGAACCGGCGCTGCAGACAGGAACATTGTTAAAGGGGAGGCCCCCTCCCAAGCAGGGTGGGCTAAGCCGCTGGAGCGCAGCAGGCTCCGGCCCTTTAGGACTCGGAGTGAACCCAGGCTCGGATGGGAACCCCTTCAGGCCTGACTAGAGCACAGGCATTAGGACCTGACGAAGAGGGAGAGTTAGAGACAGGCTGGGGAGTGTGTCAATCCCAACCTCAGAGAGGAAGATCACTGCAAAGAAACAGCAGCAGCTGCCTCCTGCCCCACCTGGGAACATCCTTTACCCAGCTGGTGGGCTCTCTGGGGACAGAGGAGGGGTGCAACTCACTTCGTTCAATCCCGGTTTCTAGGCACCAACGAGAGAGAATGCATCTGGAAAGGTGGCAGGGTCTGGCCATAGCCTGAGTCAGCAGCACAAGCCGAGCTGAGGCAATCGGAGCAGATTTCTGTTGGTCCCAGCCCCTCCTCAGGCAGACAGCCCCTTTCTCCCTCCCAGTCCCGAGCAGATCCTAGAATCCTGTCTGTGCTCTGGCCAGGCTACAGCCCTGTCCCCACTGATACCTTCATGACAGCAGCAATCTGTTTCCATTGCTCTGGGCTGGGATCTGTGCCAGTTGGATTGTGCGCACAGGCATGGAGAACGATGATGGAGAACTCTGGCGCAGCCTAAGGAAAGAGCAGTTCTCAGGCACACACACACACACACACACACACACACACTCGGGCTATGTCTACAATGGCAGCTTCTTGCGCAATATCTTGCACAAGGGTTCTAGTACAAGAACTCTTGCGCAAGGAAGCTCTGGTGGCCATTTCAGCCATAGGGCTCTCTTGCGCAAGAAATCCCTGCCGAGCTCCACACTGTCCTCCTGCACAAGAAGCCCTCCCTTACCACGCCGTACTTAAGTTTCCTTGCGCAAGGGCGGGTGGGCAGTGTGGATGCTCTGTGGATTCTTGCGCAAGAACAGCCATACTTGCATAAGAAGCCGCGAGTGTAGACATAGCCTAGGTGCCTTGGCCACTCTGCTGGGCTCCACCACAGAGATCTGACTCCATGTCCACTCCCATCATCCCCAGGCAAGAAACGGGTAGGCTCTGGTACAGAAGAGACGTGCCGATCCAAAGGCAGCAGCTACCCTAGTTTTGGGTGCAGCTCAGGAGATTTCACCTACCTCCATGTCCTGCAGGAGCCCCTCCAGGTCCAAGCCCCTCTTAGCAGCATCCCAGTAGCGATAGGTCCGGATGTCCTCAAAGCCAGAATTCATAAACACAGAGTTATGATTCTCTGAGGAGAGAGAAGAGTCCATCTATGCTACAGAGCTGCCCTGCATCAGCCAGTCCCAACTTAAGCTGCCTCCTGCCACACTGCCCATGCAGGGAGGGAGCGAATATCTCCCTCGTGTGTGAAAGCCCATCACCCCCACCTCTGTGCGAGGAGTGGGCTGCCCTGCTCCCACCTCATCCACTTGCTCTGCAGGCTCCGGTGAGGCCCACACACGGCCATGTGCAGCACTCACCCCAGGAAGGAGAAGAGATGTAGACAGGGGTTGCTGTGTTGTTGGTTCCATTGTACCAGCGCCTCAAGAACTCTGCTCCGATGCGCAGAGCGCCAGTCCCACCCAGGCACTGAACGCCGCCGACCTGAAAGGCAGAAGTGGGTCACCAACAGCCTGCCACCAGCAGATGATACCAGCGGAAACATCAGAGAGGGACAGAGTGAGATGAGCCTCCCTGGCCTCCAATTACAAAATGGACCAACGCGCTAAACCCCCCAGCCTGGAACCGAGCACTTCTCGCTCAGTCGCCACCACTCAGGCTTCTGACGTCACAGCAAGCAGCTCCTCTGAAACAGCGGGCCAGGCTCTGCTCTGCAGTGACAGTTAACTCTGTAGTGCTCTCCATGTCCCCACGCCGTGGTATCAGAGTCCCTGTTTCCAGGCCAGCACAGACCGTCACATCCCAGCCACACAGTTCAGTGCTGACCAGGGGATGCACCAACACCTAAGTAACCTCACATCACACGTACTCAGCTCCCAGCCTGCCATCGCCCTCCTCCAAAAGCTTTGGGCCTGGACTCTTTCCAGCAGAGTCCAAGGGCAGGTGCCCGGCCAGCTCTGGAATTTTCCAACATCAGATTGTAGGACCTGGATCGTAGCCTTCCCTCTGGGGGAAGCTTCCTGCCTGTGTCTGGTATTCAGCCTCCAGATGGGAGCCCAAACCATGCATGGTTGGAGAGCTCTGAAAAAATTCAGACCTATCGCTCCATGCAACCAGAACACACATAGCAAACTGAGCTCCGTGCCAGACCAGTCGGGACAAACTCTGTAATCCTGGTAAGATCTCTCCCACCCCGCCGGACCCCTTCAGAGAGCCCATTCACCAATATGCCTCAGCAAGGAGTGGCTTCCCCACAGCTTACACGATTCTCTTTGATGGCACGACTGTCCTCCCCAAGCGCAATCCTCGAAGCGTTGGCCCGGAACTCAGGCAGGCCAAGGATCGGCAGATATTCATGGTTCAAGCTGGCATCGCTGGCGATCTTCTGCTCAACTTTCTTCACTACTGGCAGGACCCAGGGCTGCCCCTCATCTGTGCGATATGCTGCGAGAGAGAAAAGGAGAGTTTTTACACTTCCCAAGCCAGGTCCTCACAAGATCCTCAGCCAGAAAACTGACCTACTCTTCTTACACTGGGTTTCTGTCCTAGTCTCACCATTACTTTTTAGAGCCGAGGCCGGGGGAGGGCAACGGTATGTGTTCTTATGGCCTGGGATTTGTTCTCTGCAGATGGTATCTGGAATCCATGGCATACACACACCTCCCCCTCCCCCCCC